GGGAGAAGACTCTTAGTAAGAATTCAATTTGAGACTTTTGATATTGGACAGTTGTACAGGAAAATTTCGAGTTTTGATCAAGTGACATACTGTGGCTATAGGCAACTTCTCATTCAGCAGATCATGCACGATTCCCATAAAATAACCTATGATACAACTGAAAACCAACAAAAATCACTGACAGTCTACACGGTAAGAACAAGCATTATAAAAACAGATGAAAAATGATTTTTAAGAAATTAACATGACAACGTAGGTGACAAGAAAGTCCTCTGATAGGGGAAGTCACTGCATACAAACTGACATTTTTATTTCACATTGGTTACGAGGAATTTGAACTGCCCGCTCACAAGAAACTCGAAGCTCTACGTGAGTCAAATCGCGCACTATAACGGTTTCAGCAAGCTTCTCAATTGAGCAATGTTCATTTCCCACCATGTGTTGTTCAAACTTTTCGCAATTTGCTGTAGCTGAGCCGAAGCGTCAAGATTGAGGATGCCAGATTTTTATACCGCAAAGACTGTCATGATAACGTCTAGTGCACGATGTGAATCACTTAGAGCATTGAGTTTTCATGAGCGGGTGGTTTGAATTCACTCATCAGGAATCATTAAATATGTTTGTAAGGAGTTGATTTTGGCAATTTTGATCATGCGTATTGTGTTCTACGTAAAATTTTGGTTACGAGACATGTATCAGTGTGCTGAAATTCGTACCTTGTCTAGTGGTCCATTGAGGAGATAGTAGGCAAGTAAGTATATATCTTCAGACTTAGGGTTGACAATATCAAATCCTATTTTGTGCAAATTTGATGAAATGTTATCCTATTTACTTCATATTTGGATATAATTTAAAAGAACATTTTCGGAGTAGTTACTGGATACTGTGCACCGGTATACATTTCAGATACAACAATCTAGCTCACAAGGGAACCTAACGCTGATGCCTCTTTAAATCCAGGGGTCAATGGGAAAAATGCTGGTACTTAGGTCAAATGGATTTTCAAAAGCTACACTTCGGCCATTTGCCTATCAGTTTTGAAGGAACAAGATCGTGAGATCCCTTGTTAGCTGATTCTGCTTGGAGCCTCATCCATAAACTGAGCGACCAGCATTGGTTACAGATATGCAGTGATTCTACCTATCAGAGGATCTCTCAGAAAATAGACCAAAAAATTCACTACGACATTTGAACCAAACCGGCGCATAGAATGCTAAAAAATACGGCAAGATTGGTGTCAAAGCTAAGTCCTTAAAACAAAGGTTAGTTTTGTGCTGGTCAGGAATTCACATGCTTTTGTTTTGAAAAATAATTCTTACTTCTGAAAAAACTTTCTGAAGCCTGAAAATCTGATCACATTATGAAACTCTTGTTGAAAAAGTTACGCCCCAATAGCAGCGTAGGAGTCGGTAACATAACGTCTCTTTCAGTGAAATGGGTAGAGCTATCACTCATTTCACATTTCACAGAGAAGGCAAAAAAAGTGCCCTACCGACAAAATGGGTGATCAAATTAAGCTCCATTCTGGGATTGGAGCCGTTGATTTTGAGGATAACAACGACACACCGAAAACTGAATTTTTACTGAGCGTAATTTTATAAGTTCTGATAGGTTCTGAGATGATTTTCTATAACTGAACCTCAATTATTGGTTTAAAGAGTTAGATCTTTGAATTTTAGCTTGAAAACTTTAAGAAAGTGCTTTTGCAAAAAAGCTGGAATATTGTTCAAATCTAAAATTATTGTAAGAATGAAAGGATTGTCATCTATTTTTTAATTTTAACAGATTAAAAATCAGAAGAGCAAGTTGTATTTAAGACGATAAGGATCTTTTCCATTCAGGACTTTACTTAAAACCGCTGGTCAAAGAAAGCTGCTACAGGCTCTTTATTCAACTTCAAACTACGTGAAAAGTGTAAATTACACTTTCTGCAGTGAACACTTCTGCCTCACTTTTATGACTTTTCTTGCGTATTTCTCAGCAATTTATCTGCCTTTAGACAGATTAAGTTTTCTTTTAGCTAGATCAATAGCTGACCATAATGGAAGAAAGCCAGCAATGCCATATGCAACGTACAAAATTTGAAAAAAGTACAAATTTTAGAAAAGGTGCATACTTGCAAGACAAGAGTACAGCGCTAGCATAAGTATTTACAACAGTCTGACTGCACCCATATTACTTTTAGCTTTTTACAATTTCGGAGTCAGAAGAAAACAGTCATTCCACTTTGGCAATGGGCTCTTTCACGCCAAGTTTCCTCCAGGGTTTCCTCGCAGCACGTCTTAATTCTACAGTAGTTAGTTGCCGCCTGTTACGTCTGAAAATCAAAATTAAACCATTATGAAAACAATTCTGCATTATCTCACAGTCACTTTTTCACAAGAAGTAAAAGCAAGATGGAGAATTTTCACTCATGTCAGAAAAATTAAAGCCTGCTGTCCTAAAGCACCTTCATAGAAAATGTGGGCTCCATATTGTAAATTTTTAGATTTAATTTGAGAAAACCTCAGCAACTTATTTTCATGGAGCATGATTTTTATTTATTTTCTTCAATGGAAGTAACGGTAAAATCTTACTTGGAGGCGACAGTAGAGCAGAAATAGAGATCATCCGGAGCATCCATCCATGAAATGACTTGTTTGCGCCCTGGGCGCCCAGAAAGAGTAGTCATACGAGGTTTGCATGCTCCATTCAGAACAGAAGGAACACTCATTACTGGGCCAGGTGCTGCTGGGTCTCGATGACAACGCTTGCTTGGAGGCGAAATAATCATAGCTGAAAACAAATAAGTAAATTAATTTTCTTTCGAACTGGATTCCACTAAGCATGGGTTTAGGAGGAATCAGTCATTAAGCAGGACCCTGATTTATTTGTGTTTTTTACTGAAAAAGATCATTATACTTTACTTTTTGAGTGAAATGAAAAAATCATAATAATCACGCACTGAAAAAATAAAATAAAAATAAAATAAAATACTAATAATAAATTGAAGTTGGGGCCATCTTAATATACTAAGCAGGGAGGGAGGAGATTTGGCCCTGCAATCCCTGCATGATGTTATCCTTAGTAGCACTTTTTCACAATAAATTTTCCTTCAACTTCAAAACTGAAATAAAATTTAAAAATGTTGTGTTCATGTTACAGAATAAATCAAGTTAATTGATTTTTATTGAAGCATTTCATTATAATCCCATTAAAGCAATTGATCAAAAGATAAGTATGATGAAAACTTAGGGACCTAGATACACTAAAGGCCTGGAAAAAATGGGAATTGAATAAAGGTGATTAAAAACTGTGAGAAATTAGTGATTATTCACAGGTTCACTGAAATATAGCAAAAACCGTCAATTTGATATTCAATTATTCTATTCAGGTCTTATTATTCTAATTATTCTCTATTTCAGGTTTAGTTTTGAACAATTTCCAGTGCAGGATCAAGGTGTTCGATAAAATTTTCTCCCTCTTCTCCCTAACTGTCATTGTTGACCTTGACCAAGGTAATCTCGGTTTCCCTACCTTTCCCTAACCTTTTTGTCCAAATAAAATTGAACACAAAAGTAAACATTTTTTCATGCAAAGTACTGAATACCAGTGGGGTGCTTGAATTTTAAAGGGAAAAGTTCATTGAAGACTGTAAGATAGCACTGTGCGGCTTAGCATCAAAGCGCCATGAAGTTTTGTAAAAAAAAATCTGAGTCTTGCAAGGAAATCTGCTGCTTTCTCGGTCAAGCATTTCATTTCCCTGGCTTCTCCCTCACCAATTTCATCTTTCTAGATTTTGACTGACTTTTCCAGTTGCTAGACACTCTGATGATGTGAAGGGGCCTTGAAACTGTCAAGGGCCTAAAAAATAAGGATAAAGGCCAGAAATGCTCAAAAATGGCGTATTATGAACTCAATTTTGAGCCTGTATGATCCGTTATCCCTTCTTTGTGGATATTCATAGGTTGGAAAAATTGTCAAAAATAGTCACATTTGAGCATTTATGACCAGACTGCACCCATTCTTTAAAGGTACCTCACTCTTTAATGTGCATCATGAAATCCAATACATGGAATAAAAAGCCACTATTACCCTTGTCAAATAAAATGCTAGGCAATTTTTCATTAATTGACCTGTGCAAGAGAAAATTAGTAGAGAGTATTTGGAGCATTCATAGAAGTAATTCTTAATTTTTATTCATTGCAAAAATAACTTAGGATAAAATTGCACAGATGTACGTATCTGTCCCCTTTAACATTTAGTACACTCAACAATCCCAAAATGACCTACCGTCATCCCAATCTGGATCTGAGGAAGCACAACAAAAGGAACAAAGAGGCACCATGAGATTAGAAAAAAATAAAACTACCACAAAAATGACAAGAGGTTACGATCGTTAATACAGCATGACACTGCCTCCTCAAATTTTACAGTAGCTTGCTCTAACTTCTTTCCTCTCAAACAATGTATGGTGTGGTTGATTACTCTGGCGGATAGCGAAGTTTTAAAACAACACATTGTTTGGGAGCAAAACTACTAGCAATTCTAAACGTTTTCCTGACTATTTTTGTGTATTCTAATTTTTGGTATGTAAATGTTCTCAACTGTCTTCAGAATATGTTTCCTAGAAAAAATGTTGTTGATGAAGAATTCCAAACGGTGTGTGAGGTACACTGAAGAAGTAAATCGTTGGAAACTTGGGAGGTACATTCAGTAAATTTCAGAGTATACATTGATTATGATGTGTCAAGAGCACTGATGAAGTTATTTTATGTTTTGAGAAAGTTTAAAATGATTAAAAAGTTTGTACTCTTGTATACCCATAGAAGGCACTTGTCATAACTCTTCTCTTTGTAAAAAGTGGATCAAGATACAATTGAGAGGGTCCAGCATTTGTTCTCTGAGAATCTGGTGGTCAAAGCTGATACTCCAAGTGACTTCTTAATTGCAAATATAGTCCCATCATGTCTAGGTTTGATTTTTTAGGTTTTGATGAGTTGAGAAAGTATCATGATTTAGTTTTCTTGTTTAAAGTTTTAAATAACTGCACTAATCCTCCAGATTTGCTGGCTTGTGTTAAATAGCATCGCATGAAACTAGGAACTGAACTGAATTGTTCAATTTGAATTTAGTGAGTAGTGATTTTTTTTAACCCTATTTATTTCTTCCTTTTGTTAAGGCTTAGCATTAGTCTCTGTGAGAAAATAGATATATTTAGCCCAACAATTTCTCATTATAAGGTTTTAGTTAAAGCAAACATTAGGTTCTTCTGATTCTTCAGTGTCATTTTGTTCTGTTACCTTTCTATCTTTTGAATTTTTTTAAATACATGAGAAACTTCTCTTTTTGCAGTAAGTAAGTGCCTAAGGGCCGAGCTGACCACGGAGGCGCCCTCGAGGGGCCAAGGCAACGGGCAGAAACCTTGCCGTCGTGCACCCTGAAGTTGGACCGTGCTCCTTAACTTCGTACTATTGACACGTTGTGTAGCCTCTATATTCTCGCAAGGCTTAGCGGCCGTCTGATAGCCAATGGTAGGTCTAATCAAAGACTGTGGCAAACGCTGCAGAGCACGGCCATGCCTCCACTGAGTTGGACTGTGTTGTTGCAATCTCCACAGATAGGTAGCAGTCGCGTATACGAGAGATTACTGATTTTTTCACAACCCAGTCGAACAGAGCAGACGGATTACTTACTGGGTGCCTATGTCCCTCCCGCACCCTGTCATCTCGAAGGGTCAGGGTATTGGAGTGGCATAGTCATCCATGGTCACAATGACTGACATTTGGGTGTCCTCAAATATCAGTCACCTCCGGGGATTGAACGCGGGACCTCAGTGTTGGCAGCGAACTGCCTTGACCACTATATCACTGAGGCTGACTCTCTTTTTGAATGTGCTTTACTTGATGCTGCTCTTCGTAGGTAAACTAGTTGTAACTATTTGAAGCTATACCAAGTGAAATTTCGTATTTGTATTTTAATATAAGTGAGCTCTCCACATTAAAAAAAAAAAAAAAAAAAAAAAAAAAAAAAAAAAAGCGGGTTTCTTTATTATTTGAAATTGATGCATATAGTATTGAAAAAGGAAAGAAAAACACATACCATCTATTCCATTCATTTCCTCATATACACGTTTCTTCAAAGCTACAGCAACGTTATTTGTCTTTTCAGCTTCCGGTTTATTGGGTATTCTTTCATACAGCAAACTTCCATCTAAAATGAAATAATCAACATTAATTAGGAGAATTTGTAAGAAACTGGTTATGGAAAATAAAAAAAGCAATCGATGTAAGTCTGTTCCAAAAAGGTTTGAAACGACAATAGGAGTTGCCATGAATTGAAAAACCAAGAAATAAGAGGATTTTCTGAGAGATAAGAGAAAAGCTGACAAGAAAAAAAAATCCAGACGTGCCATCAAGGCTCTCGACCAATCACTGGGATAATATTTTTTCAACAAATTAATGTTGTCTTTCTTGAAAGTAGCTTAAATTTTGCTATGCCACTTTATTCTCTTAGGATTATATTCAAGTTGTCTGAACCAAACTACTATTAAGATTCAACCACCAAGCTTCTTAAGAGTTCAAAGAATTGTTCAAAAACCCTGCGTTTTTCCTTAACTTTTGTTAACGTTTGTTTCCTAAACTTGTTCTTACACAGATGGAGAAAAAAGAATTCAGTATTTAAAAAATTAAAGCAAAATTACATTTTCGCCTCTCCTCACTGTAAAGGAAAAAAATTCCGAACATGTGGATGTTCAGATTTTTTTGAGCAGTTGCTCAATTTTTAACTCCATTACATTAAAGAGCTTTAGATATTGTCAGAGGCATCAGTAAGTTAAAGAAAAGAACAGATGGTAGAGGAAAGGTGAGAAAGTCTGGCGCCCCTGGGGTTGGAGCTTGCTTACTTTATGCGTTTCTAACAATAGACCTGGATATAGTATGTGTATTTAGAGATTAGGATGCTCCATTTCATGATCAATCTGAAAAAAGGCATGAGGTATTAACAACTGAAGCTGAGAAACTTACCAGGCCCTTTTGGAGGTTTGGGGAAACTAATCCTTTCGCTCTTGGCAATTTTGTCCTTGGGAGTAGGAGCTAACCAGCTGGGGACATTTAGCTCATGATTCCTCAATATACCTAATTTGGTGGCTATGTTGGTAACACTGCCTCGGTCTTTTTTATGATACCGTAGCAGTTCTTTTAGTTGAGCTACTGATTTACCCATCATTTGAACTTGACATTCTTGCTTGATTGCCGGCACATTAATAGACCAGAATGGAGAGCGTGCAGCATGACGCGACATAATCAAGTTTCTGCATAATCTGCGAGACATTCGAGTGAGGGGTGTTGTGCGAAGATAAAATGCTGTCCTTGTTTTCATGATTGGCCTTGGAGATCCTGCTCTTATTGCAAGGCCGTGTGCTGTTGCATAGTGTCTAGCTAGGTGAGCCTTCAATTTGAATTCTTTGCTACAACCAATAATACTACACCGGTGAGGTCGATGGCCAGCGAGGCTTGGTGGGATCTTTTCCTCATCGGAAATGCTACCTGATTTCTTTTTGCAAACTTCAGGATCCACTTCTGCCAATCGAGAGGGAACCTTGAGACCGCCGAATTTCTTCCAGTAGTGCCAACAATTCTGACACAATTTGCACTGCATATTGACTGGGCCCCAAGAATACCACTGGCTTGATATCGACACATTACATGATTCACAAGCCTTCCCACTTACCAGATTCTCGCTATATCCCAAACCATTGCCATTCATCATCCCTTTATTGTTGTTGATTGCTGATGGGTTTGGTTTGTTATAGTTCGGAATGTACACTTGTCTTAACCTTGATTCGGCTTCTACAGCTTTCACCCGCTTTTGTTGGACATAACGATCTGTTGTTTTCCACATGTAGTAATATTCAACAATATTTTTAAGCGATTTCCACGGCAAGAAGTCCTGCCGAATGTCGATGAAATCTTTTCCATATTTTTCTAATGCTTCTTCAAAGAGATTTGCTTCGGATGCTGACCATTCCTCCATTTCATCCCTGCAGAGGACTGGGCCTGTAGAAGGAACAAGGGAGCCTATTGCTTCGGCAATATCATACGAATGTTTGTGTAAGGTGTTCATGGCATGGAACAAAGTGATATCCCTGGAGGCAGCTGCAGCACTCATATGGAGACTGGGCTGTTTCACTGAGCTTGAGCAGTCAAGGGCTCGGGCAAACGTACCAACAGAACGTGATATCACGAGAAACTGGTCAATCTGTCGATCAGTCAGATTATGTTCTGGTGTCCAAACTAAGGTATCTAATTCTTCTTCTTTACGGTCTTCTTCTTTCTCTTTTGCTGATTCAAGGAAAGGAGCTGTTTCCGCCTGGTAACGAGCACCAACTCGGATCTCACCTTTGTCTGCAAGCAAAGTTTTTTGAGAAGGGTCATAGACTAAGCAATAAAAAAAGGCGTCTTCTTTATTGAGGTAGCTAGTTAGAGACTCAGTCTCATTTAAAAGTGTCACTGAGCATTTTCCTCGAATGTGCGTTGCTGGCAGCGTCTCCACTTGCCTTGAAAGGAATAACTCTCTATGTTTAATTTGGTGCCGCTGTTTCTGACTTAAACCTGATTGGCCGTCTCCATCACTGTCCTCAAATAAGGCACCTACAACAAACAAGATAATTACCAATTAGAATGGATTAGAATAAAGAAAAATCTAACGAGCTTCCTTGGGGCTGAATTTTAATACTTACTGAAATATTTTTCAGCCATTCAAAGAGGGGATTGAAATATTTTTTTAAAATATTCCCAGTTCAGCAGTTGGCTAAGAGGAAAAGGGAATACAAAGAGTCTGAGGCAAACTTCAAATGGAGCAACTGTTAGAGTTGCATCTGACGGAAAATGGCTGAAAAATTACGAATAGCACATACATATACATATACGTCAATCCTACAGCGCATTTCAGCGCTCTACGACACACCCAAATGACCTATCTTGCCAAGGGTTATCGGCCAACTGGCAATGCAACATTTTTTCGTCGACGCCCTGCCGCCATCCCTTCAAGGGTTGTGCGTCGCCTTCTTCCAGCGGTACCCAATCCAAAAAATGTTAGGCCTTGTCTCCCCGGGACGTTTAAAGGGATTTTTCCCAGGGAAAAATCTCACTTGCGAAGTTGGGAAAAATATTGAGTTAGTCAATATTAATCACAGTGCCAACTAAGAGTCATTGTGGAGTCCCAGGAACGACTTAGCAGAAGTGAAAGAAATTTTGTTGTGTTGTTTAACGGGGAAAAAGCTCAGAAGTTTCATTCCTGCGATTCGAACTTGGGAAAAAATACCGTGAAACGTCCCGTGGAGACAAGGCATTAGGCAACTTCTCTTCCCCAGTGGTGTGACGTGAATTGCGATGTATCGATTCTCATGCCATTTAAAGCTATGGTAAAGAATCGATTACTAAGGTGTTCGCTGCGAACACCCTGTTTATCGATCCTTTTTGATAGGTTTAAATGGCATAACAATCGATGTATCGCAATTCACGCCACGCCACTGCACATTCTTTCCACGTGGCCATACCACACTAACTGCCTGGAGATGACGTCGTGCACGATATTACTTTTCATCTTCATTACATACAGACATACATTGGATACATTGGATACTGAGCTGGGATCACGCCGAGAGACGGAAAACACTTTACGGATGAGGTCTAAAAAGACTCGAAACGTTACAGATCTCTCGGTGTGACTACAGCCAAGTATTCCAATGCGTCTGTCTGAGCTGATAATGCTCTCTCTCTTTGGCCTTAAACTGAAACTCATTAAAGCTCAAATTTTTTACACTGATCAAACTTTTTGGGAGTTTTTTGGCCTAATTTTCCCCATAGAATGATGTGGACCCAGCACTATTCTACCACCTTGTTACTTGTAGTTCGAGCCACATTTTTAGTGTTTTTTTCTTGTAAATTATAGCTGAAATATTTTACGATCCGCGTAAGAAAGAAGCTAAAATTATGAGATGAGCTAAGATAAAATTTCGCCGTTTCTAAAGACGCGATTTTCCCCGACTGTTCTTGATTTCCTCTGATCCAACCCCCTCCCACCCCATGACTCCCAAGTTTTTCAAGACTGTGGCCACCTTGTCGAGCAAAATGAATGAATCATTGTGTGCGTCTGACTCTAGGTCAATAGGTCTCGGGTTCGAATCCCGGTAGTGGCGTCAAATTTTCACGGAACTGACGGGCAGATCTGCTGAGACAGATTCTACTCGGCTTTAATCCCTGAAAATATGAAAATTCTGAGGCATGGATGTTCCTAAATCCCTCGAAGTCTACGGACCTTAAACATAGTCTAACGTTGGCTGAAGGTGTTAGACACGAAGCCATAAAACCAGCAGAGAGGGGGGGGGGGGATAATCGTAACTGCTGCAACTAACAAAAGTCGATTTGAGAATTTAATTTTTCATCATTATTGACGATGATTCGATTCGTTCTCCTCCAGATCTTTCATCATTAGCCAGACTACTTGTGCACTGTGCAGCATGCTCACTCCTCCACGGGTTGCTCAAACGAGATCTATCAGTGCTAAACTATAGTACCTGTATACGGGAGAGTATTACCATCTCAATCCCTTTACTACAGAAAAAGTGTGCCGCTCTCTGTTTGGTCGGCTATCAAGGAGCCCCAAAGTTGGACCAATGTAAACAAACCCCAGCCCCTCCGCTCCTAGTTTGGCCCAATATAAATGAACAGGATAGCGACAAAGTTCTACGAAGTTTTAAACGTGATTTTGGATGCGATAGAAATATTTTTATGATCAACTTCTGAATTGAGTTCGGATCGACATTTAATGGATATTTTTGCGGAAAATTAACCTTTTGGTGTGATTATCATTCATTTCTCAGCCGATAATACGTATTCCTCTGGGTCGGGTTTGTTTACATTGGTCCAACTTTGGAGCTCCATGATGACCTAAAACTGATGAACCAGCGGCACAGAGATGGCAATACTCTCCCGTATACTGCCGTGCTAAGGAAGAACGCCGTATGAACCTTCAGGCGTTGTCAAATTTCCTTGAATGAAACACGAATTTCCTGGTAAACTTATGAATATTATCCTTCTAATTTTTCAGATAATTTTGTTCGCAATTTCACCTGAGGTTCCTAAAAATTTCAGGGAAAAATATTCATAACTTTCCTCAAAAATAAACATTTTATCAAAGGAAATTTGGCAACTCTCGAATGTTCATACGACGTTTTTCCTTAGCACGGCAGTATACAGGTATACTCTGTGCTAAACGAGAGCACGGAAGCGGCAGGGTGAAAGGGGCGCGCAAAGAAGATGAAACAAAAAAGCTACAGCGACATTTAATCGAAATGGCCAACTTTTCCGGGGTTACTTAGCCTCGGCATCTCACATATCCCTCATTTCCTGAGTAGCCCCCTCCCCTCCCGCGACCACCCTCCCATTAATGGTGGCAAGGACAAATTTATTCGGATCGATAGGAGCGGAGGCACGAGGGAGAGTGGACGAGGGTAGGTGGTGGCCACCAACAGCCACCAAAGAAGGGGAGGTTACGTATACAATGCACCTCGGGTGTGCGCGTATATGCAAAACCTTCGATTTCGTGAGTGCTTGCATTTTTTGACCTATAATTAACCCCTACCCTCCCTCTTGACGCTCCTTCTTACCGCACAGAGCAATGCTTGCATCAAGGCGATTCCTTCCCCCTCTCCCCTTTGCTTGGGCGAAAGCTCACGTCGAGATCGAATGCAGCTGGCTCCGGGTTCCAAAGTCTGCTGCGCTGAATCAACCCCTAACTCGGTCACTGCTTTGTTTCAAGTTTTAGCTCCGATTTTATTTCCAGTTATCAATAGAGGAGTCTGATGCGATGAAAAAACTGGAAATCGGTGTCGGCACACATTCTCATGAGCAGTTTGCGGGGTCCTTACTGAAGAGGTATCGTGCCCAGTAAATGCATGAGTTAAAAAGGTATTTGACACGATGATTTCATCGCCGGCGCTGTTTCTACGGTGGTTAAGTTGAGGTGAGGTATTTTATCCCTAGCTAGCGCCATGAAGAAATCATTTGTTTCTGACTGATGTTACCAATGTGTAACTGGCAATTCATGATCAATCAATGCATGACGAGGTGCATCGATGGCTTAAGTAGAAAAGAGCGTATCTGAGAAGTGCCAACTTTTCAGGAGGCTATAAAACTAATTTCCGATTACACACGAGCTAACTAGAATCCAGGACCGACTATGACATGTCATAGAAGAATAGTTTAAACAAATCATGACCCTCAAACGTCATTTCTATTGATGCAGCACGAGATAATAATGAAGAATTGACGGAATTGAGAGGTGCGTCATTTCCTTAATTTCGCACCCTAGACTGCCGCGCCGGCTGTTATGAATTTCCCGCAATAAGCAACTGAGAGATCACCAAGAATCGCCTAGAGTCCCTTTATACTGAGAGTCAAGACAATTTGAATCCATTTCTGATTGGTTCCCGTATTTTAGGCCTTCACAGTGTCACAAACGGGAATAAAGATTACATTTTCACCGATTGCAAAGATTATAATCTGGAATGGACCAGGGAATTACGGGTTCGGCAACGAACAAACGGAATGAGAGGAGGAACGGAGAAAGGCATTTGAGAATGGGCCGATCAAAGATTACGAAAAACGTTCAATTTCTGTAATCTTTATTCCCGTTTGTGACATCCATGAGCCGAATTGTCTTGACTCTCAGTATAAAGGGACTCTAGAATCGCCTTCAAATCCTCGCATCATATGCACCTGAGACGACTTGAGTTATTTTACCAAGAAGATTGAGGGTAGCGAACTGGCGATCCTTATTGAGTGTTTTTTGAACATTCTTATCACTGTTTTATTTGTTTATCAAACATGAGAGCCAAGGCTGAGAGATTGGAAGGCGGCCTGCTAGCTTTAAGTTATCTTTTTGAAAATTCGTGCAGTGAGATATCACAGTGCATCAAAGAAGGGGTTTAGAAAGCGCTTAGCTCTCTGCTAAGTTTGCTGTCTTTCATTCGATTTCAAATCGGTTAAAATATTCCTCACGATGTCTCCGGAAAGCCATCGTTCCTAAAGATTTCGGATCAGTCCAGCCCTCAAAACTCCGATCATTTTTACCCATTTTATGTACTTTTGAGTGCATAGATTCATTCTTTATTTGGCAAATATTTCTGAGGACGCACTAATCCTCGTCATCATTAATATAAACTTCGAAGGATTCAGACTTTCAGCGATTCCAGCTTTTTCTATTTCACTCGAGAGGTTGCCAGATTGTGCGATAAATGTGAATATTTTACATTGATTTGAATTGAGAAAAAAGTTTAAAAAAAAACAACTTATCTGGCAACAATAGAGTCTGGGAGGGACGAGAGGCTGCCTTCCTGGGAAAACCCATGATTTAGCTGGGAATGTCATTAAACAATTGATTCCGTTTGATGCATCAATTGTATACTAAGGGAAAGCTATTTTAAAATAATATAATTGTAAATGGACACAGATGCTACAGAGAGGGAAAAAGGAAAGGGAAAGGAAATGAAATGAGGATATGATTACTAATATGCAATCAGAGAGAATAAAAGAAAAACATCAGAGAAAATATGCGATGAAAGTATAAGAAAAAACACGAGTGGGCT